GGAGCGGGCAGCCACACACTGGAAGAGCAGCTTCAGCTGCCTCACGAGAGGAGCATCCTCCCCGTGCCGCCAGGCCGGCGCCCTCCGAAGCGTCAACACGAGAGACCCCGCTTCAGAGGAAAAAACAAAACCCCGCGAACTTCAGATCCAATGATCAGGCTCTGGATAAAACCAGCTTTTAAAAAAGGTTGGGATTTTGGAAGTCCATTTAGCTTAACCTTCGCTAGCTTTAAGCGATCTGTACGTATCTCCTTGCCACGTTTGCAACCCACGCACAAGGCGCCGCGGTGCCAGCGAGCTGTGTCATGTGCGAGCGAGCAGAGTAAAAGGAACCACAGGCTTGAAAAAGAGCTCGGGGCTGAAATTCTCTTTCATTGTTGCAAGTGTCACGGGAGATGGCAACAGCAGAAGGAATCGGGAATAAAAATGGAACTCGCTTGTTTGCTTGTTGGTTTTGTCACAACGTTTTGACACCACTTTGCATGCAGCCCGCTTCTCTGCTCTGCTCCCAAAAATTCAGAGCCTCTCACCTATCTCCACACGTTATAGGGGAAAGCCAAGAGGAGCAAAACTTTCAGGGAGAGCAGTGCATGTGCAAAAAATGCGAGGCCCAGCACGAGAACTTAAAAGCAGGCTGGACTCCTCCTCCCGACAGCCCGAACGCCAGCACGGACGGAGCCCCGTCGGCTGCCCGAGCGGAGGCAGCAAGGCCCGGGCAGCCAGCAGAGGACCGTGGGGAGGGAAGGGGACGGTTTGGGTCAGCCTGACAAAAAGCAAAGCCAAAAAAAAAAAAAAAGAAAAAGAAAGAAAGAAAAAAAAAAAAGGAAAAAAAAAAAAGTGCAGACCGGGATTTTTACATTTGCAATTAAAAATCAAAGATCCTTGACAGTGTCGCTTTACCAGAGGAGCTCTGCAGCGCTTCGGGCAGCGCCCTACCTCCCCCGGAGCAACCCAGGCTGGCAAGGGGCAGCAGGTCCCCGCCGGGCAAATCCCACGGCCGTGGAGGATTGGTTTTCGCTGCCTTCTCCCCGGCTCACCCGAGAGGGACTGGCTTCCCACCCGCGGGGCTCGCGGCGCCCGGGGAATGGGCTGGTTCTGCGTCACCGGGTTCCGCGAGAGCCCCCCGGAACGTCAGCCTGTTTTAGCACTCTTGTACATCAACGCCGGGATTCTGAACCCCCGGCCCCCGCAGCCCCCGCCCCAGGCGGCTCCGTCAGCCCGGGGGCCT